AGACGGATGCCTGGGGGCATCCAACCTGCTGCAGCAGGAGACGCTCCTCGCGCTCAGCGTGGGGTAAACGCTTGGCCTCGGTGGAGACCTGTGCGAGGGGAGGGGGAAACTGAGGCAAACTCCTCCAGCATAAGCGAGGAGGCTGGCTCAGAAACCACGGACCCTCTCTTCTCATTAGCAGCTTCCACCTCTCGTGCCCCCCAAAAGCTGGCTCGTCCTGCTGCCCTCTGAAGACGTGAGCTTCCCACCCGGCATCTGGTTTCCCGGGCCAAGCAGGAGAGCTGCCCCATGGCCATCGTTAGTGATGCGCTCCCCCCTCTCCTTTCTCCCCTTGTCTCCTCACCGTGTAAAACTCGAAGCAGAACCCAGCAGCTCCAGGACTGTTGCTTTCATGCGCTGGCGTGACCTGCACAACCCAGCCCCCGGTGATCGCCTGCATCTCTCAGTGCCTTCAAAGCGGCTCTTGATTGATGTGTTTCCCTGACTCACAAGCTTCAAGAGGCTTTGAAGACACTGGGCCAGGCTCTGATCTCTCACAGGCTGATGCAAATCAGGAGCAATGGTGCTGACAACAGTGCAATAATCCACACTGATGTCAAGCCAGTAAAAATAAGAGCAGAAACGGAGTTTTGGGCTTTCCTTCTGCCTTGAAGGGATCTGAGCAGTGCCATGAAGCGGAGAGCTGCAAACCCGACAAAGAAAACTTGGTGCAAAACGAAGGCAGCATAAGGGCACCTGCCCTCTCCTGCAGCTAAGGAGGGCAGGAGTACTACGCTTTTGATTTTCGTTTTGCAGCTAAACAAAATTAGACTGAGAGTTCAGAGAGAAAAGCAAGCTTTGGGTCAACGGCGGCGGCGTAGCCAGGATTAGACATGAGGGGGAGAAAGTCTAGTTCCAGCTCTATTTTTCCCACAGGCTACCCAGAGCCACCAGGCTCCTAGCAGCTCACCTTTTTCACAGCTCCTCCTCCTCCTTGCCTTGTCACCCTCTGCCCAGGTGTGGTTTCAGAACCGGCGAGCGAAATGGCGCAAACGGGAGCGGTTTGGTCAGATGCAGCAGGTCCGGACCCACTTCTCCACCGCCTACGAGCTGCCCCTGCTTACCCGTGCCGAGAACTACGCCCAGGTGAGAGCATCTCCCCCCACCCCGGCATCCCTGCCCCTGATGCCTCTGTCCCAGGGCTTGTTGGACACACTGCTTCTGCTCCCAGTTCCCATCCATCCCCGCCAAGTGATGCTTCATCCACCTGCAAAAGACCCAGGGCTCTACTGCCAAGCACAGCGGGGCTAGGAGTTACTTAGTCCCGAGAATTTGCCTCCAAAGCAGGCACCAAGCCTGGACCTGTGTGACACGGTGCAGCCACCCTTCAGGCACAGGTCTGGAAAAGGTTCAAAAGGCTATTTCATGCCTTAAAAAAAGCAATGGTTCCCAGGAAGGTGTCTTGTTGCTGTGCCTAGATATGTAGGTGAGGTGCTCAGGGACTTGGTTTAGTGGTGGGCCTGGCAGTGCTGGGTTAATGGGTGGACTCGATGATCTTAAAGGTTTTTTCCAACCTAAACAATTCCACGATTCTGTGGCTGCAGGTTTCTGTGCCCATTCTTTAGGCTGTTGGACTAAAGCACTTGTCCCCTGGCAGATCCCCACAGCTGTGGGTACCCAAGGCACCCTCAGTGACATCTGAGCACACTTCCTGAGGGACTTCGTGGCTTCGTGCTCCAAAGGAAGGGTGTGATCAGCCTTGTTGGGGTATCTGGGGCTGCTCTCAGCACCTGCTGAGAGTCCTCCTCCACCTTGGCCCCAACGCCCTGGCTGTGAGCTCCCTCTCCAGCCAGCACCGCACCAAAGCTGCCCCGTAGCAAAGCCGGGAGCATTTGACCTCTCTCCTGCTTGGCGTCTCACCCGAACTGAACAAGAAGCCCCTTGTGAAACAGCTGAGAGATGCCAAAGTGGCTTTTCAAGCAGAGGACACTCTCAGCAGCCTTTTCAGCACTCCCTTCTCTCGCCTGTGTAACTCACACCGCTCCCTCCCTCCGTAACCGCGCTCCTCTCCCCTTCCTAGAGGGCAAAAGAAAAAAAAAAAGAAAAGAAAAGCAATTTGCAGGATTTGCAAGAGGTAAACTTGCCCCTCCAACAAGCATGGCCAGCTGGTATAAAAAAAAGCCCTTGCCCGGGCAAAGTTGTCCAGAGCTGGGGTGGGTGGGCTATCTCTTGCTGCCCATCCTCCTGGGCTGGGGAGAGCTACGAAGACGCTGTGAATGCCACCGATTGCCGAGAGCATCCCCTCTCCCAAAAGCGCTCAAAGTGCACAAAACGTCCAGGGGAAATGGCTGGGAAGGGGGACAGGTGAACCGTCCCCTCCTGCAGTCTCTGGCTGGGCTGGCACGTGGCTTTTGGAGCTGCTTTGGGGGCAGGAGGAGCAGGGGGCTGTGGATGATGCTGTCACCGAGGGGCCAACTGACCTCATCCCACCGCCCCAGCTGCCCCTGACTTTTTCCTGCTTTTTCCCTCCCACCCC